TTGCGAAAAAACTTTGGACCATGTCGTGTCTATCAACTTCAACTGGAGTATAAATCATGAAGCGCCAGTAATTTTTAAGGGCAACTCCTCTTTGAAAGTTATCTCTAAAACTGCGGGTCTGTTTTAAAAAGGGAATTTCGGAACCGAATGCACAGAATGTTTGGGTGGTAATAATGATTCTGAGCGCGTCCCATGCGCCAACACTTGGAACCACCATCGAAAACAAAGGGGTACCAGTCCCTTTCTTTGCGGCCGATGACAACCTCTGAGTCGAGTGTTTTATTTGACACTCTCGCCGTGTCTCGCTGAAAATAATTTCCGCACCCATTACAGCGCGAAATGTTCCCTTAAAGCTTTGTAAGAAAGTAGGGACTAGGGGTTTCAGGCAATGTTGGCTTTGGTGGTAATGGCTGCCCTGGGGGAACTGCAGCGTGTGAATTCGAAACTGAACCTGGTGATTTTTCTGAAGAGAACTGAGTTGTTGGTAAGACCTGAAGTGAGCTAGCATGAGGATAGGAATGTGGATGTCCTGCGAGTTGGAGGGACGATGACTGGACTGAGCTCGTAGGAATCAAATCTCCTCTTTGTACAAGCCCCCACTGATAGCTTGGAAGCAGACTAGTGGAAGTTGTTGAGTAGTCTTCCACCTGGTTTCCACCTGGTTTCCACCGTTCTCAATGCTTTCCACCAGCGATGAGTTGTACTGTAGCACATCATCCTTTGAGTTTCTTTGACGTTTAGCCGTGCCTTGTTTACTTCCGGAAGCTTTCGCGTTTATACCAAGAGAAGCCACAGAAGTTAAGCTGGTTGGGAATTTCTGCTTCCGGTACCAAGCCACGAATTCACTTAAGACGCCCTGATTTTCTGCGACAGCGATAACATGCGAGCAACCTTTTTTGGGCTTGTAATTTTTACAACTACAAGTAATTCTGCGGTGTTGAAAGCCTTGACGAGATAAGGGGCGTCACCTGATTCCAAAAACACGGAAAATGGCATGCAACTTTTATCAGCTGACGGAGCTGGCATAACATTGTCAGGCTGCGAGAGTAGACGTTCGGCTGTCCTCCACATTTACTCTGCAATATGGGCATCAAGTACACCTTTAATTGCGTTTGTGGTAAGTGAAAGTTTATTTTGATGGTCACTGCATCTTTCGCATCGGACAAAACATGCTTGAGCCCCGCCTGGGTTTTCATTAATGCTATGTAAGTCTTCCTCTACATGGGAAGCATAGACGCTTTCTACTTTCTCTTGCCGTTGCTCCTCGTTCATAGCAAACCACTAATCTCTCGAGATTTGGAACTTTTTAAAAGGCTCTTTTATTTGGTAAAGCTCAGATCCATTAAAAACAGCTAGAACAAACTTAGTTTCCTGTTCATCGTCAATTAATTCTCTTACAGCCTTGGCAAAAGCTGTCTCACCTAATTCTCTTTCTCCTCTTTTGTGTCTCAAGAGACGGTTGGTGTTTTCAGAATCGTTTGTGTAGAATTTATCAGGTGGGTAACCAAGACCTGCCTTTGTTCGGACGGATGCGTTCATGAACTCCTCCATCATCTGGGCTCGATGAAGCATCCAATTATGGAAGCTCGATGTCCCACATTCTTTTTGTTCCCTTCTAGCACACGGTTCCTGCAGTGAAGCCAGAACAGCATCGAACATATCTTCACTGGTGGTATCCAGAAGACCCATCTCGTAAGTTGCTCCTTCTTGCTTTCCAAAAATTTCTTCGATATATTGTTTGTGATCCTTCACGCCGTGAGTTACAAGCTTGGTCTCGATGTTTTTACGAAAATGGAGAAAGCAACGGAGATGTGTGGCACCAGGAAAACTATCAGACAGAGCATCGGACAGTGCACTTTCTCCATCGGCGCCAAACACTAACAACTGCTCGAGCTGGGGAGCAAGACATTTCAATTTCGGAAAAAACTGCGCATAAACATCTTTGGTCTTGCTGTGGTGGATGAAAATAGGTCCGACGAACACTGGGCATTTATTGCTTCTTCTACTTTTAAGGAAAATGTTACGATATGAGGTCGGAGTTATGCTGAACTCACCAAAATTAAATGCTGGATCAACAGACAGGTAACTAAAATCTAAGTTGTTTCTACAGAATCTGGATAAGTCGGCTAGCTGTTTGTCGGTTGCCAGTAGAATAAGGGGTTTACTCGAGAGTTCGTGCATTCTAACGAAACCCTTTCTTTCCGTCTTCGCATACCAATTAAACGATGCCATTTCATATATTTGTTTACGCCTTGGCTGTGAGCAAGTTGCCTTAGAGCGGTCCCTTTTCATGTCATAGGCTTGAGTTCTACCTCTGGGAATGTCGGCTTCTGATAACACTTGCATTGGTCCTTACAAGTCTTTACGCGTTTTTGAGACGGCTGCGTTTGTTGCAAATGAGCTTAAGTTTTTGCTTAAAGCCCTCTTGACGGATGGCTTCGTTCGAGTGTATGGCACACCCGTTTTGGAGTTCCCTTGCGGAACAGTTTTTATACTGTGTTCTGGGCCAGTAAAACGATACTGCAAAAGTACAGAGTGATTAAGAATTTCACCCGTATGACCTCTTGCGTAATAAATTGTTTGGTGGAAGTCAGGGAATTCTTTATGGTATCTATATTCCCTAAATAGATGATACTCTGCCGGTCTTGAAATTTCTATACGTTTCTTATTCATCTTCTAAATTTTAGATTTGATCTCCAAAGGTAAGTTTGAGAGTATCGCCCGTTGTAAATATACGTGCCATTTCCGTCCGCTGGCAAGTCCTCTAAGCTAATAAAACGCGTGTCTATACGAAACAAAGCATTTTGCTGTACTCTTACTGGTTTTCGTTGGGATTTCCTTTCAGGTCGATAATCTACTGAGAGTATATCGAGAATTCTCTCTGATTCCAATTTCCCCCTAGAAGTGGTTAAAATTGGCAATTTCGGATGTTCATTGAAAAATAATTCTTCAGATGAGTCGCTCTCAGATAAATCGCTCTCGGATTTGCTGTCCTCGCTTTCTGTGGACGATGATTCAAATTCTACCTTACATTTCTTTTTCTTAAGAAGAGAAGAACCTGCTAGCGCTTTTCCATAGTAAGTGGAAGACGTTGTAGATCTGGTCATGGCTTTCATCTTCACTATATTCCTGGCTTGGCCAGCATAGCCTAAATAGTTGTTTCCGGTTGATTGCTTCACGGGAGAGTCTGCAATGCTAATGGGATCTTCTACGCTGTTTCCACTGCCTTTAAATTGACATGTCTCTACACTGGCTGCTCTCCTGGATACAACTTATTTTGTAGCAAAAAGGAAAATATTTATTTACTTTAATGTTTCCCCTATAGATTGCGATAAAAGTAATTTATTGACTGCAATGATT